CCTTGTCAGGAAGTCTTGGGAAACAATCCTAACCTTTATATTTATTTTGATATGTTTATCATGGGGTACCACTCCTTTTACCTAAGAATGGGAGATCTTAGACATTATCCACTACATTGAGCCTTTCTTGAGAGGAATGACTGCCTTACTTTGTCAACTTCACCCTGATTCACGTGCCATTCCTGACACCAGATGGGATCCTGGTAAAATGAAGCAAAGCTTAGTAAGATTTCCAGCATCCAGAGTGAAAAAAAAAATTAGAAAAAAATCATTGTGAACATTTAACACTTGGATTTCCTTGGTGTTTTCTGATTTCTTTTCACTAAATTCCTAAAATATATTGTAAACACTGGGGTCCAGAGAACTACCCAGGCTTCTGAGTGCTGCTCTCTGTTCAGAACCCAAAGTATAGCCCAGTTGGAGCTGGTGAAAATGTATATATTTTACAATACAACAAGGTATGTATTCTGTTGAGATTTTGGTCTTTGGAGGTCGACCAGCTTTCTAGGTGTTAGCATTCAGAAACACATAATCACATAAGCAATTATATGCAGGTGCTTTTATTAAGAGCTCTGGGTGTCAGGAGTATTGAACTCAAATCTGACTCTGACCATACATTCGAGATGGTAGTGTTTTTATTTTCTATCTTTCATGTTAATTATTAAACTTATATTGTTCTATTGTATACATAGATTTCAGCTTAGCATAGCCCCCCTTAAATTTCCAACACAGTTTCTCATGATTCTTCTTATGATTATACAATAATTATATTTAATTACTAAACAATCATCACATCTAACAATTATATCATTTATCATACTGCTTACTCAGGTGCAGTGATCTGAGAAAACACAAAGCCTAATATTTTCAAAGTCTACCTTTATCATTTTCCAGGGCTCCATTATCATAGGGACTCCACACTTGACACGTTGCTTGCTCAGGCCATTTCTCAGCCCACAAACTCTCCTGTTCCCCATCCTCACAGCTGCTTCAGGGTCACGTTGCCCTGAAGAAATTACAGCTGAAATAAGATGCATCAAGTGGATTGCAGACTGCAAGGCAGATAAGCTGCAACAAGGGGATAAATATGTAGCAAGAATGCAGGAGGAAACAGAAAGAAAAATTACAGTGAAACCAAAATTGGATACACATGAAGCTGCCCACAGCTCTGAAACTACAGTTAGTCATGGGGCTGTAACACACTCAGAAATGTTTCTGTTCAAGGTTTATCACCAGTGTTTTTCATATAATTTATTTCTCATACTGCTCTCTTCCCTTAAGTAAGACATTTATTAGTTTTTTAAGTCTTTGCCATTTCCTAATCTGCCTCTGCCCTTCCAGGGATTGGCTCAAAGGGAAAGGACCTTTCACCTGTGTCTCTCTTTCAAGAGGTACTGCTGCCTCCTATGATTGCTGTCACTGCCAACAGGTCATGGATCAGGCCCAGTGACACCTACAAGAGAGCAAATTTGCTTTTCCACCTCCCATTTGTACACTTTAAATCCAGAATTTCCTGTCAGGTTTGACAGAACATGCTGCATCACAGGATGTTGCTGAAATACCCCCAGAACTGTTAAGTGTCTGCTTTGGAGGACTTCACCCAGACAGGTTTAACTTTGGATGGAAGATGTCAGGTGTCACTGAGAGCTTCAGCACAAGGAGGTTATGAGCCAAACCCAGACTGGATCACCCATCTGGCCCAGCCTGCCATGCTGTGAAAACTCAGTCTGGTTTTGCCAGATTAGAAAGCAAGCACACAAAGAGGCAACTGTGGTTCAAAAGTAAGTAAAAACTATATTTTGTCTATGGAATTATGAACCATTTGCTGTTGACAACGCTGTTCTAAACACCCTCATATTAATTCCAAGTGTTTCATGGAATTAAACTTGGAAGGTTGCTGTACTGGATTTCTGACTAATTTTTAAGCATTCTAGAGTGCAAAAATAAATAATGATTTAAGTATAAAAAAGATTTTTAAAAAGATTATTTCTTCTCCAGAAATAAGTTACAAACTATTTTGAAAAGAAAATGTTAACATCCAAACCCACTATAAATGAACTGATAATGACTATTACTGTGGAAAAAGATTAATGTAGAGAAGTTAGGACACAACAATTTTTAGTGAAAAGTTTAAAAGAGGAAATGTGGGGCAGGAAATGCAAAGCAACCTGCTGCAGTAATGCAGTGAATGCAGAGCCAGGATTATTGGATCTTGAGCTCTCTCTCTGTCATTTACCTCATCCCCTTGCAAGACAATCTGTTGCATTTCTGGCTACAACAGGATTTGCTTGGAAGATGCACAGGCAAATATGTTATTTATGCAGAACTTCCAAAAGTATTTTTTAAACTGATGACGATTTTAGTTCACATAAAACAATTTTAATTCATGGGTTCCAGAAGCTGTATGTTAACTTACTGAAAAGACACAAGCACATTTGCATTTATAGCATGGTGTAGGTAGTGCAGAGAAAAAGCTGGGGCTTTTTATACAGAATCCAGAGCAAGTACAGTTCCTGGAATTCGAAAATTCATAGAAAGTTCTGAGTGAAGGTGAGTAGAGTCACCACACCTGTCTCTGTCATTACCATTTAGGTCCCTGTTTCACACCTGCTGAAGTTCAGACACTTGGGAATGCCACTTTTTTTGTACCAGAGCCGTGCAAAGTGGCAAAAGTGTTTGCATATTAACAAAATAATAGTTAAGTGTCCTGTTATTCCTCTTTAACATTGGACTGGTCTGTTAAGAAAATGGTAATTGATCTCTGTTTGGACTGTCAGTCAAAATATTTGCTATTAAAATTAGCAAAAATATAGAGTATAAAATATCCATAAAATCTACATATATGAATTCCACAAAGCTGCCCATTGTGAACACTGTTTAACAATTTCCCAGCATCAAACAAAAGGGATACAGAGAATTTTGACAGGAGAGCTGTGAATTGTAACAGGCTGCAAATGAGCCTGGCTGAGTCTTGCCCCACACAGCCTTTAAAGGGTCCAGGAAACTCCTTCCATTGCCAGGAAACCCTTTTGTACTGCGAACCAGCTTCAGGAAAGAAAGATCAATACTAAGAAGCAATTGGTGAACTCCTGACCCCCCCCCAATGAAATCCTCATGGGTTTTTACCATTGGTAGTTGTTGTATTCGCTCATCACCCCCATGTCAGGCAGTCAGAGCTGGACTGATGGACTACACATTAAATTATCAGTAACCATCACCTACTGATGGCCTGCTTCCCACATCAAAGCAGAATTTGGCTGTGAGTTTGTAGGAATACATAAAGAATAAACCTCTAGCTGTATGGTTGTGAGGAAAGCCTGAAAAATGAGATCAAATGCAATGTAGAGACAAGTCTGCAGGGAGCACAGAACAAAGTGACATGAGAACTTCCCTATTCTCCTAGCGAGGGTTTAATCAGATAATGCTGATAATTTAAATACTAACATTGTTAATTATTTCCATGAGGATTTGTCCACCTGGGAAAGTTTTGCCGTTTACTTGAACTAGTCTTGTTATAGTAGGCTCCATTAAATTGTTTTAGGTCAGATTTGGTTTCCTTACAAGTAGTATAACCTAGAAGTTTGTTTTGTATCATGGCATAATTTTATATTGCACTTAACCTGGCCTGTGCAAAAGTCTGGATTTCCCTGTTAAGACTTGGAGAAGTCAGGAAGGAAAAGTTGAAGGGAAAACTTTTTGGTAATTACTTTTCTGATCAATGATCCAAACTGATTTACTCAGCAGCCACAGTGAAAATGAGAGGGGGCAAGTGGCCAAGCAGCCAGGAGAGCAGTGCTTGGAGTGCCAGCAGGAAGGGATTCACAGCTTGCAGTGAACTAAACTGAGCATGTTGTAACTCTGAACCATAAAGGGAGATGCCACTTGGGAATGCCACTTTTTTGTGAAACTCAGGTGAGGTTTGAGTGGGGAAGCAAGAACCACAGGATCTGAACTCCTTCAGTTAATACATGGGTTAACTTCTCTGCATGCTCAAGCCTTGAAAGATGGGGAATCACAGATCTACCTAACACACCTTGACCCATCCCCCTCATGGTGTATTTAATTAATTGACTTGTGAGGTTTTTTGTCACCCAACAGGCAGCTGAACTCGGTGGTTCAAGCGAAGCCTCAATACAGCCTCCTGTGCGCAGCTCTGGGACCCTGCATTCACGAAGGACATTGGACCCACTGGAGCGGCTTCACAGAAAGGAAACAGAGCTGGTGCAGGGCCTGGAGCACAAGAATGGCGAGGGGCAGCTGAGGGAGCTGGGGCTGTTCAGCCGGGAGAAAAGGAGACTCAGGGGCACCTTATCACTCTTTACAACTACCTGAAAGGTAGGTGTGGTCAGCGGAGAGCTGACCTCATTTCTAAAGCAATATGCGATAGGACAAGAAGAAATAGTTTTGAGTTGCACCAGGGGAAGTTTAGGTGGGACAAAATGCGCGATTAGAGATTTGAATTTCCTGCCCAGGGTGTGGAGGAGTCACCGTCCCTGGAAGCGTTTAAGGAAAGACCGGACGTGGCACTCAGTGCGGGGCTGTAATTGCTATGCCGCTGTTCCGTCACGGGCTGGCCTCGATGATCTCAGGTCTTTCCCAACTTGAGCCCGTGATTCAGTGCGGGCCGCGCATTTCAGCGGTGGTACGAGGAGTCACCCACGTCCCCAAGCGACACGTACAGACCCCCATCAGGGAGTCTCTCCCTCCCACTCCCCCTGTTTGTGCAGGCCAGGTGAACCTGCACCAACACCGGCTCAGCCGCCCCGCACGCAGCCGGGACAGCGAACGCTGCCGGTGCCGTGCCGTGCCGTGCCGTGCCCCGCCCCGGCCGCCATTCCGCCCTCACGCCGCCCCCGCGCACGCGCCCCGCCCGCCGCGCACGCGCGCCGCCCTCCCGCTCCGCGCACGCGCGGGGGGCGCCGGCCTGACCAACCAGCGGCGCGCGCCGCCCGCCCGCCCCCGCCGCGGAGGGAGGGCCCGAGGTCCACCACCGTCCCAGCATGCAGCGCGGCGGCGACGGCGGTGGCGGCCGCCATGTCGTGCTAGTTTGTTGTTCTCCGGCGGCGGGAGCGGGGCCCGCCGGGCGCTGAATCCGAGCCCTTCCCGGCCCCTCGCCCGCGTCCTTCGCCGCGGCACCGGCACCCGCCGCTCCGGCGGGCGGCACCGCGGCGCTGCTGCGACCCGCCGCCGCCTGGGCCGGCCGAAGAGCCATGGCTGCCGCGCTGGGAGGAGGCGCAGGTGGGTGCTGGGGCCGCGCCCGGGGGAGCGGGGCCGGCTCGGGGCGGCGCGGCCGGCGGGGTGAGGGGCCCGCGGGCTCGGTGGGGCCCGCCCGGGGCCTAGGCGCTGCCGCGGGCACGGCTGGGGGCGGCGCGTCCCGCGTGGCCGGGGCTGGGGGCGCGGATCGGGGGGAGAAGGAGCGGCCCTGGCGCCGCGGGGTCCTGGCAGCGCCGCTCCGCTCCTGGGACCGGCCATGGCAGGGAGCGGCTGCGGCCGCTCGGCGGGGCAGGGCCCGTAGGACAGCGGCCTCGCCGCGGGTGCGGGGCCTTCGGGGGACGTGGGTGGGTTTTAGTGAAAGACATTCACAGGGTCAGTTAGGATGGAAAACATCTGTGAGACCGCACAGTCCAACCTATGGCCGAACACCACCGTATCAACTAAACCACGGTACTAAGTGCCACGTCCAGTCGTTCTTTAAACATCTCTAGGGATGATTGCTATTTTTTCACATAGTTTTTACAGGTGCAGGTGTGTGGCTCGAGTAACACGTCCTTAATCTGCAGCATAGCTATAATTTATTTCGTAGACTATCAAGAAGTAGAGGATCTCACTTGAGAAGTGTAACATGAAGTCAGTGTTTGACTCCAAGATTCTCAGGTGTTTGTTCCACTGTGTTTCTGCATGAATACAGATACTTGTACACACGGCATTTTAAGAGACAGCTCTGTGGTTCTGATTACGCAAACTTTAAAATGAGAACATTTGGTTGGGTGATTAAAAGAAAGTCTTTCAGGGGTCTCTCTGGAGTCTTCAGGAGTGATAAGAGGATTTGTGTGTTTCTGTGCTTGCTTTCGTTAGGAGTAGCAGTTTTTGATAAAGGCTGATCAGAGTGGTCAGTTGACCCACTTGTCCTTGTCTGTACAAAAGTTTTTGGTGATTTAGTCTCTGTAAGTTGTCGAGGAGGAGAGGAGTGGTTGGTTCAGTGCTCACTCAGCTGAGGGGTCTGACTGTGCTCCATGGTTGGTTTGATAGGTAACTAGGAATATAACAATAATTACATTTTTATCCATAATTACATTTTTATGGGAAGTCTTGCCGTACATAAAGGTAAATGTTACAAAGAAATCCCCAAATTTAGGATTTGAGTTTGGGAAGAAGACTAGGAAGGACAACACTACTGGTAAAACAGCAAATAGTTTAATACCTTGAGCATTGTTATAATAGGATTAAATATACTGCAATATTTTAGTTACTTTTCGAAAGTCTTTGTGCTAATTTCTGTGGTTCAGGTCTGTGGTTCCACTTGTGATGTGGAAGTAAGGTTGCCATTCATGTGCTAGGTGGAAGTTTTTGTGGTATTTTGAGGATAGAGTAATTTAAGTAAAGTTTCACTTTTGAAGCATTTTGGTTCTCATGTTTAAAACTGCTTCAAGCTGAATGAACGTGCTTTCATGTACTGCAGCAGGCAACCTTCAAGAAAGTGGTGAAACTGCCATTTCAAGGCTGATTTTTGTTGTTGTGGAGTTCCCATTTGTGTCCAGGGGTGAATTGGGATCCCTTTGTTTTTTTAAGTGGGCACAAGCAGTTGTTTGTTCAGCATTCACACTGTGCTCATCAGTAAATGGTGGCCACTTAAATATGGTCCCTGCCCCATATAGACAGTGTTTGTTTACTCTTGGTGCAACACTTGCTGAATGGAGGAACCCACAGGTCACACACTTATGTGGTCCATGTGACTGCTCAGGGAAAATTCCTGGTTGAGGTTGTTAAATACATTTTTAAAGCCCAGTCATGCAAGCCTAGGACTTACAGAAAAGGAATATGCAGCTGTTTTTGGGAGGGGACTGCTGTCTAAAATCAGTAGTGGTAGCATGTGAAAGAATCCCCAAACTAAGTGGTTTTGGTTGTTTAAAGTTTTAACTGTAGAAATTAATGTTTGGAATTTAGTTTTTGAATTTCTGGGGTGAGGAAAAGACTTTAAAATATGGGCATAACAGCACCCCTCTGCTTTCTTAAAAGAAAAAAAAAGCAGGCTAATGATTGGTAAAATAGTACAAAATAGGTGTTGGGAATATAAATTAGTGTTAATTTGACATTGTAGCTTGACAGCTGACAAAATTGGATAGTTTTGGCTTTGAGGATGCAGATTAAAGTTTAAGTCCTCTGTAAGGGTGTGTTATAGGACTGAGAATGAAATGTGAAATGTCTGTGTTGGCTGAACATTTCAATGTATTTGATGGAAGGAAGGTGATGTGTCTCTTGGACAGCATGTATGGACTCATTGCTCATTTATAGTTTTTCAAGTTTTGGGGAAATACTGGTGTGATTCTTTGGAATAAATAATTCACAAGTACTTCTGTGACCAGATGTGTTGGTGCAGCAAAGCTTTCTAAGGATGAAGGTTAAGGCTCTTTTGGTGTTGGGTTTCACAAACCAGAAAGTTTTGAAGTGATGGTCTGTGAGGTCTCTGGGAGTAATTCACAGTTGCATAATAGTTTGCAAATTCTTTAGCTAATCAGCCTGATTCAACCTGCTTCAAGCTGTAGAATGGCTGCATGTTGAAACATGAGAAGTTGAGGTGAGTGTGCAAGTGATGAGGGACCTTGAGGGCTCATAGTTGCTCATTGATAAGGCACTGGTTCCCAAACTTTGTTCCAATTTTAAACACAAAAACAGAACCAGAGGAAACACTGAGTGTTGAGTAACATAATCTTAAAAGGTGAGTATAGAGAGGATGGAGGCATTCTCCTCACCAGGATCCATGCAGAGCAGGTGAGGGACAATGGCTACAAATTGCACCAGGAGAGGCTTCACTTGCTACAAGAAAGACTCTTCTAACAGGGAGGATAATCAGTCACTGGAAAAATTTCCTCAGGGACATGATGGAACCTCTGTTACTGGAGGCTTTTGGGAAATGTTTGGACAGGGTGCTGGATAAATTATCTCCTCTAGGCTCCCTTTTTCATGGGAGACCAAGTGGTGTTGGAGGGTCCCTTCAAACCTGGACTTCTACATGGTTTAATGATCATATAAGATAACAACCATTTTGTATAAATGCTGACATTTTTTCTTGATATTTATCTTGATATTGCTGGAGTCAGTGTGCAGCTAGATATTAGTCTCATTTAGGGGAGGTTAAACAACAAACCATGTTCAAAACAAAGCAAGGAGAATCTTTTCATTTTCTACCATATTGCAGTAAGAGAAAATTATTGTAAATGTTCTTTTCGGATTAGTTTACTTCTGATGAACATCAGTAGCCTGGAAGACTTTGGGTGGAGATGTCTTGGGGTTGTGAGTCATGACATGGGATGGGGTGGAGGAGGAGTTGGAGAGGGTCCATTGACAGATGTGTCCCTTCCTGCTGGAAGTCTTGCATGGACAGTGGCAGAATGGGTGTTTCTTTACCTCTGAGGCTGTCAGCAGCTTCACTGAATCTGAGCATGTTTGAGGTCTGCTCCTGCACTCTCAGCAGTGTCAGGGCTTTAAAAGCCTCTTGTGAAGCAGTTGATAAAAAGTGGAGCAAAGCTGATCCTGCTAGCACAGCATGTGTGGTAGGTTCTGTGTGTTGTGGATCACTGTCCAAGGACGCAGTAGAAATTGTCCAGGGTGACAGATTCAGTTGAACTTGAGCTTCAGGCTATTCAGCAGCGGCCTCCAGGGACTGGAAATAGATTCTGCATTTGTGCCTGGGTGATGCGCACATTAAAACTCCTCCTTGTCTTAGAGGTCTAAAGAGTTTGCAGTTCATGAAATTATATGCTCAGGGTGTACCAAGAACCTGTGCACCTGTGTTGTATGTAGTATTGTACTAGGGGCTAGTGCCAGAAACCAGTGCTAAGTGGGGTGCTTGAGGCAGGGAGCTGTCCTTTAAACACAGCAATGTTTAATCTCTGCTTTTTTGACAAGGTCTCACTCTTCTGAATGTCTTCTCTTTTCAAGTCATCTGAAATAAACATAGCCTTAGTATCAGTTGTTTTTACAAAAGCCAGGCCAAACTATTTTGTATCAAATACTACACCTCAGATTTAGATCACATAGAATTTGTTGTCAGAATAATTTAAGATGATGGCTTTCAGAGGCTTGACCAAAAAACTTCCAAGTAAGTGATGTGATTCACCTTGTGTTATGTTGTGTTGTGATGCAGCTTCAATTTTAACTATAATTTTGGTTGCTCTGAAGGATGCTGGAGAGTTTCTGGAGAGTTGCAGTTTCTCATCAGTGTCCAAATCCATTTAGGAACCAAGCTCATGTGGATTTCATTTAAGCTCTCAGCTTTCCTTCACTGTTGAACATTTGTAATATAAAGACTATGGCACTTTTGGTTTTCCAAAGCAAATATATTTTCTAGTTCAATCAGACTTTGAAAGTAGATTTTTTGTGTGACTTGGTAGTTTTGGGTTTAGATGTAGTTTATTAATTAAAAAAGAAAAGGAAGAAGAGACCCTATTTCTTTCAAGCATTGATTAAGAAATTTCAATTCCAGACAGCATATCATAATTAGTTCTGATCTTGCATACTGCTAGTGACTTGCTTTGCATACAAACTCTCAAAAAAAAAGGTTGGTTATAAGAAGATAAAAATAATTTCTCTCCTGTAGTACCTTATTTTGCTTTATGTCTTTGAGGAAGCTAAACTTTGTCTACAGAAATAATTTGGAAACAAAACATGAAATACACTAATTGAGGAACGGGTTAGGCAGTTGTTGGGTTGTTATACTTAGTCACCGAGTACTTAGGGCTTCTATGAGTAATTGTTTACCAATATCAAGGCTGTCTGGTGTCTGTCCCTGAACAGATAAACTGAACTGTTTGTGTTTCAGTGTGGTGTATTTGTGCATAATGTGGTAGTGAGGCTGAACATGATTTTTGTGATGGTGTAGGAAGGTTGATTATTTTGTAATAAGTGGGACTGGATTTATAGTGGGCTTCATGAAGTGTTGGGTTTGTAGCACAGACTTGGATTCAGAAATTCCTGTTGACCTCATGTTTTTTTTTCCTGCCAGATGCTGTCAGGATTTG